TCTTTTGTAAGGCAGTGTCCATCTCTAGCAGTTGTAATATCAATACAGGGGATCTCTCTTGCTGAAGTGCCCAGTAAGCTTTGGAAGAAGCTTATAAATTCTTGTTCAATCTGCTTTGGTTCTGATACTCTCCTCCCTTGTTCAATACAGATAGATGAAATTCTGTTCCTTGCCTGCCTATTTTTTAGCTGAGCATGAAAGAATTTAGAATTTCTATCTCCTGCTTTTATCCACATTGCTCTGGACTTTTGTCTGAGTACTTGTTCATTCACCCCTTCCCATTTTTTAGTCTGCATAATCAGCTCTCTTTCCTGCTCAATCAACTGTTGGTTGAGAGGATCATCATCTAGCTTCCTTTGAGTATTCTGCATCTCCATTCTTAGGGTTCCCAACTTTTTCTCCAATAAGTTCATCTCCTTGTTCATCTGCCTGGTTCTATTCTGCAGTCTTTGTAGCTTAGTCCACACAGAGTACATAGCATATCCCTCAATTCTTTGGTTCCAGATCTCATTCACATTGTCTTTAAACTCCCTTCGATGTAGCAGGACATTGTAAAGCCTAAAAGGCTGTTGTAAATGATTCTTTACCACTTCAGTGTTTATCACAATAGGTGAGTGGTCAGAAATCCCTGGTAGTTCATATATAGCTTCAAGGCTACTATACTTTGTAAGCCAAGAGGTATTTCCAAACACCCAATCTATATTGCTATAGATTCTATCTCCTGCATCCCTTTTATTGCACCATGACCATTGGCAGCCTTTTCTATTCAATTGCCCCACTCCAATATCTCTTATACAGTCTTGAAAATCCACTAATTCAGCCTGGTGTATAGGTTGCCCATTTATTCAATCATTAACAGACAGAACACTATTAAAATCTCCTATGACCAACCAAGCCTCCTGCATTGTACTTTAAATATGCCTTAGTTGGTCCCATAGCTCCCTCCTTTCATGAACTTTGTTCTTTCCATATACAAAAGTGATGTAACATGAGAATTGTGACCCTCTTTCCTTCACTTGGCAATGGATCAATTGAGTAGTAACCATCAGCATTTGGACCTGGACCATACTATCCTTCCAAAATAATCATATCCTCCCAATAGGACTTATCTGCTCATCTGAAAAAACTTGCCAATCCCTACAAAACTTACTTTTGACTTTGCTAACACTTCTAGGCTTTATCTTTGTCTCAAGGCAGCCTAGTAAAGTAATTTTATGTTTCAGCAGAAAGGCCTTTAGTTCTCTCTGATTGTAGGGCTTATTCAGCCCTCTTATATTCCAAGAGCTTATGATCATGGTGGATTTTCCTCATTGAGGCCAATCCCTTCAGTCACCTTTGTAGTGCTGCAATCCTCTTGTATTCTCAGAGAGCTATATCTATTAGTCATTAGCAGTTTCTCTATCTCATTGTCATTTAGGACTCTCTTATTTTGCATTTGTACTTTCATCTTCTGCTTACCTTTAGATCTTTGTTGTGGCTGGAATGCCTCTTCTTTTTCAGCCTTCTGTTCTGCATTCTCTTGCTTTTCTTGTTGCTTTTGTAGCTTCTCACTTGTCTCTCCATTCTGTTCTTTCCGCTGTTGTGCTATTTTTCCTTGCTCAACAGTTTGTGTTATTTCTGATTGCTCAACAGCAGTAGTTTTTACTTTCCATTGTGTTTTCCTCTTCTGTTGCTTGAATTGTTTCCCTTGTTTTTGTTGTTTCTCCTCCTTGGGCTGTTGCTTTTCTGTTGGTGCCTTCTCACAGTTGAATTCATGCTGTCCTATTTGGAAACACACTCCACATAACAAAGGTCTCCATTCATAGTCTATGATTTGCTCCATAAGTTTGCCATCATCCTCCTCAATTAGCATTCTGTCCGGTAATTCCTGAGAGACATCCATTTCAATTAACATTCTCGCATAGGATATTCTATCTCCTTCTGTCGTTAATCTATCAGAACATATAGGTTTCCCTATATAGCTTGCTATTCGACCTAGATTTTCCTTTGTCCAATATTCAACTCGTAACCCTGGAAATAGCACCCAAATTGGGACATTTCGTGTCATTTCTTTACTCATCTGAAACCTAGGTACCCACTGTTTCAATATCATAGGTCGATTATAAAATGTGTATGGTCCTCTTTGAATAACTTTGTTCTTATCATCTTCAGATTCAAATTTGAAAACAAAGTATCCATCATCATGAAGAAATACCTGCGGAGTTGCTACAAAGTTCCACACACCATATACGAATTTGAGCATTTCTTTGAAGGATGGATTTCCTCCCAATACATACCCAATTAGCGCTGCTTGCCATTTCTGGGTTTGCTCCCCCACCTCAACTTGATTCAGACGAACTACCTTTACTCCTTCTTTGATAATTGGGGGATAGTACTCCAATCGCATCCCCTGTTGTTGAGATATGTTACCTTGAACCACCTCAGCTAGTGTCGCATTTGTTTCCTCCTGGTTTGAGCGTTGATTTGAGAACATGAGCTTCCTAGCTGCTGTGTTGTTATCTACCTCTACTGGTTGAGGCTTCTCCATTTCAGCACACTTTGAAGCTTGCATGACAGTTGGTGCACTTCCCATTCCAGTCATCCAGTGTACTAAATGCATTTGACTTACCGTTTGTGGGATCCCCGACTCCGGTGTTACCATTCTTTCTCCGTCTGCCGCCTCCGGTTTCGCTGGTGGTGCCGTTGTCTGTGATTTCCATCTAGTCATCGTGATGTGCGTACATTAGCTATCCCTGCGTAACGTGCGCCTTCAGAGAGAGCATCAACCCCCTTGATATTAAAAACTTACCAAACAACTACTAAAAGGAAGACCCGAAACTACAAAACAACCAACGGCAGCCAGAGAGGGGGATGGTGTTTGGGGGGAGGGGGGCTTTAATTAACAATAACCCAGGTAGACCTACGACACATCCCGAACTCCAAATCTGAAATCAAAACCAACTAATCACGGAATATTATATTCTCTCAATCAAATCCACCACTGTAGAAAAATCTTCAAAAACACACTACGAACTATGGCTGTCCAACGGGACGGGCCGGCCCGTCCCGTCCCGCGACCCGTCCCGGTCCCGTCCCGTCCCGCTAAAAATTCAACGGGATGGGCCAATGTTACGCGGGACACGGGACGGGACGGGACGCCCGTTTCGTCCCGTTTGTCCCGTCCCGTTTCGTCCCGTCCCGTCCCGAGTCCCGTCCCGTCCCGCGTCCCGTCCCGTCCCGCGTCCCGTCCCGTCCCGCGTCCCGTCCCGTCCCGTCCCGCGTCCCGTCCCGTCCCGTCCCGTGTCCCGTCCCGTCCCGTCCCGCGTCCCGTCCCGTCCCGTCCCGTCCCGCCTGTTTTTTTTTATTTAAAAACTAGCCGTTGGCCAACGGCTTAAATTGC